CGCCCTGATGATGGAGTCAGTATGACCTCTGAAACGTTGGTAAACATCGACCAGACTACACAGCGCAACAACCCAGAAGACAGAAAGCTTCATACTCACCGCTGTGAAAACCTCAAATCTTACTTAATTTATGTACCTAATACATCATGAAAGTGCCGTAATGGATCATGCTATCTCATACCATACCACTAAAGGTGAATATGCTATGTATCAAATCATAAACTGTCAAGGAAAGATCAGTGCAATGTTGGCATCCATGTTTAGTAAGAAAGATTTTACAAATTTTTAAAATCACAAACAACGACGCAAAACATAAAAGTTGTATCTGGCAAGTAGGATTTGAAGTTTTCATGGTGGTGGGTCTGAAGATGGCTGTCTTACGAGTTGTAGCACAACATAGTCCGGTAGAAACTTCTACCAGATTGCACGGAGCAACGACCCAGAAGACAGCCGCCTCCTGTATCCGGAAAATTTCATACTTTCTGAAAGTGTACTAACAAAACTGAAATTGAAACCTAAGCTGCATAATTATTAATTTAAAGTTTGTGTTAGCCTCACTGTAAAGACCGATGCATTTGAAGGAAGTATCCTCAGTTCTTTCAAGAACTACTAGAGTTTATTTAAACACGCGAAGATAAAATGTTTACTGATGTATTAGCAATATATACATCCTCACACATAAAAAATCTAAGTATCGTCAAAACGCGTACAAACGGTAGCACAATACATTCTGACACTTTTTAAGTTTACTATGACATCATTTTGGTTGGACAGGTTATATAAAAAATGAACTGTATTTGCTACTGCAAGGTCAAGAAGAACTAGAGAGAAGCAGAGGACAGAGAAAAAAAATTATACGGAACTGAGCACTAGAAGAAAAAGGCAGAAAAGTAACAGAGGTCACAAAGTGCCCTTACCTGTACACACACTCTTCATATTTCTCCTCTTTTGCTTCGTCTTTCACGGCAGTAAAATCCCACAACTCTTCCTGCTGTACACGACAGCTAATTAGTATGTTATACATCACAAAATAGCACTCTAAAATATGCACAGCAAGGATATACTAAAAGTCACAACGAAATTCAGACTCTGCTGATTTCTCACATATCGCAAGAAAGAAACATGCTGGTTTAATAATGCCGTCACCTTCCTCAGAATGGGGGAAAATAATGAGCAAACAGCCATTTGGCATGAACATAATGCAAACCTGCATTAAAAGTAAAGTAAAGTCATCCCATTACATGCCAGTGTTGGCACTTGATGGGGGGAGGCGGTATAGCTCCTGCGAGTTCCTAACCTCGACACTATATGGGGTGAGTGGTCAGCTAAAGTAACCAGATAAACACTTTAACCACAGTAACCTGGGAATTCCTCACTCAGTAACTCCTATGCACACAATGCACGTTATGTCTTAATATAAAGCACCTGTCATTGGTGGTCTTTTGGGTATTTTTTCTCCGAAATTCTCGTATCCACCTACGGTGCCACAACCCAGAAGAACAACACTCATCCTCACTTATGTGAGAACTTAAATTTAACTTCTCTCATCTCTTTCAATGTCCTTGACCCTTCCGCCTTCTAGCACAAACTTTACTGGTATTGCACCACGCTACAATTGTGTGCCTCGTATCTTTGCTATTTACATGTTCTAATATCTTTTCCAGCAGAACTTACAGACGGCATGAGTCGACACGGCTGCCTTCAATATTAAACATTTAGAATCAGATTACAGAATATTTAAATGCAAAGATTTCTGTAAGACTTTTTAATGCATAATTTAAGTCCTATGAATAATTATAATGTAAAAAGGAACAATAAGAAAAATCAACACAAAAATACTTTACTTACTTGAATTTCAGTCTTTATTGCAGGGAATGCTATTGGTATAGGACCACCTATTTCTTTAATCTCAATCAACTGATCTTCAAATGAAGGCGCTGGGTAGATACCACAATCAGTGCCCTGTTCCACTTTCACCGCTTCTAAGTTGTGCTATAAAATATGAGTTATGACAAATTTTATACTTCCCTATTTTTATAAGATTAAATTTCTAAAACAGAAACTATGAACCTGTATCACAGAAACCAAACACAGGCCACCATATTCTTCCTTAAAATCTGAATCACGTGTAGATGGCTGTCTTCTGGGTTGTAGCGCTGTGTAGTCTGGTAGAAGTTAATCAGTGTTTTAGAGGTCTTTGCTGATGTAGGCATTAGGGAGATGACGACGCAGGCAGCAAGGAGCTCTCGTAAACTTCTACCAGACTACACAGCTCTACAACCCAGAACACAGCCATCATTGTACTCATCACCGTGAAAACCTCAAATCCTACCTGTAACTCATATACATGCAGACAGTATTTTGTTTATTTCATCTTGAATTGTTCAATGGTTCTTTTACTTTTCTCTACTGAAACCTGTATTTTTCAGTCGCAAGCATTTAAACTTTATTATATCAGAACAGGATTTAAACCACTGTGTTATGGGGCTACTGGTTGAACTTCAAGGTTAATGGTTTAAGGATGTGGTACTGCATTTGACTCACTCATGGCCAGTAAAGGCTAACACAGGATAAAATGGAAGGTAACCTGGTATTTATAAGTGATAACTGTAAAGGCAAACTGTTCAAACAATATTGGACAGACTTAAAATTCCATTAACATTTTAAGAGTTTTTAATTTACTGCAATAACTGTTATGTAGCATATCAACACTGCAAGAAATACCTGTCTGTGAAAGAGGTGAACAGATTATATATAAAATCCTTTCACCTAAGATGGCACACACCAACAATTTGCAAGAAAAGAGAATAGCTACAAAAACTGAGTCACAAATACACAGCTCACCCAAAGTTCAGCCTTCATTATGGACGATGTTATTGATACAGGATCGCCTGCTTCATCATCATCAATCACCTGAATTTCATCAAGTAATGGTGCTGGGTTTGCCTCATGTTCCATGTTAGGTTCCACTTTCATTCTGTCCGTGTTATGCTGTATAATTAAATAAATTATGGCCTTCAGTTATACAGCTTGGCAGCTGTATGAAATGCACGTATCATGAGGAACTCAGTGTTGTGAAGTTCTACCATTTACCTACTGTAAATATGGCCTGAACCACCTCACTCAGCTGAAAGATATGCTTGGCAAAACTTGTAATTTTGGCTATGTACCACATAACCTAACAAAAACAGTTGTCCTAACTCTCCCAGTTCTTGTGAAAGGGTTACATAATCAGTTATCATCAATGCATAACTGGAACACGCAGAAGTATTGCCTTAACAACCGAAAACAGCTGATTTTAGCTACTATAATTTCTTCCAACTGAAAAATTGTTAACCTATTAATATGAAGTACTCTGTAAAATGCTGCTACATCAATAAGAAACAACAAGTTAAAATGAGATCATATGTCCTGATGACGAGAAGCTGATATTGGTCTTTCTGGTTATGACACCGTCACGACACCTGAAGACGGAAGCGATGCGTTCCTCCGAAACGTTGATATCTACCCGCGTCCACACTGCGTCAAAAAACCAAAAGACCAGCACCGACAATTAGTTATAATTTCAAAGTTAATTTTTTACACTGTAATTAAAACATATTTCACTTAATAAATACAAACAATCTGCAAAATAACATGTAAAACAATCTAACCTCTGAATGATATCCCTAATACCAAAGCCATTACACATCAGCGAATTGAAGACCTACCTTCTTCAAAATGACTTTTTCGAGAGGTTTCCTCGCCAAATTTATGTATTATGCACTTGTTGCTTCGCCATCCGAATCCTTGAATTGATCACTCTAACCATACTGAGTCTACTCCTTTACATAACAGTAATTATCGATAGAAACAGTTTAATCTTGAGACGACTTATTCTACAACCTACACTATCGACCATCTTATTACATCCAGCGCAGCCAACATCAGACATAGCCTAGTTACTATTATAACTTCTTGGTCTTTATTCCATATTTATATGCAACCACTTACATCAAGTAAACGAATCAGTGATGCAGTAACATAACGGACACGTCCTTAACCAGTTCAGTCTGACCGAAATATGTATTTCCTTACGATTTACCCCTTTGTTTACTAACGGTACTATTGGTATAGTGTGAATTGCAGTACATTTGTCTGTGATGCCATCTACCACGTTTTCAGAGCGATGAGTACATGAAAAAACAAATGCCATTTGCTGTTGTAGCATGATGTAGTTTGCGGGGAAGTTTTATTCTGCTGGGGGGCCCCGAATTTGACCAACTTAATGGAGCATAAATCTTCTTGAGTAGCTGTTCGTACTTTTAGCTACTCAAACAATTCACAACCTCTTACATGAAATCAAAAGGTTCACAGGAGGCAGCTACTGTGTACCATCCTGAGCCAGATAAATCCAATCCAAACCTTCCAATCATATTTGCCCAGGATTCATTTTAACATATACTCCATCTAGGCCAGGTCATCTAAGTGGTCTCTTTTCTCCACGATCGACAACCAAAGTTCTGTATACATTTTTTATCTCTCCATGCAGACTAAAACCCCACCCACCTTAACTGCCTTTATTTGTTCATCACAATAGTATAATGCCCCCAAACTAGCAGAGATGAATTAGGTGTAGAATAGGAACATAACAGAGTACTATGAATTGTGTGTGATCTATAATAAAGCTGATGGTTACCAACTGTATTTCTTTAACTGTACCCCACTGGCCACCTTTCCCCTGAACTGGCAACTAGTCCTGGACACCTCTGCTATCCAGGTTGCAATATGCAATAATGAACTCAGTTGTGAACCTGTTAAATTGTGTTTACTCTTGAAGGAAAGGTTGTTCATATTTATTTACAGAATATAGGTGTTATTCTATGTAGTATTATTTGCGACAAAGAAACATTCTATGAACATGCTGAAAGGGATTCAGTCTGTGTGCAAACCAATGAGTTAAAAAAGTTGAATTTGTCACTCAACTTTATTATGTTTACAGGATTGCATTTGTGATCATAAGTTTCACACAGAGGATATCATTACTCAGATCACCTCTGAAGTCCGTACATTTACTTTTCAATTGTTTTTTTGTTGCCTACACTTTAAAGCCTTAGAAAATGTCTTCTTCAGCCCTTGTTTCAATTGTGATTTAATAATTGTTATGAACATGACGTTTTAAAAAATAGAAGATCTTAAAATATTTCCAACTGGTTAGAAACAACATCGCCTTCTTTCAAGTATTTCTCAATAAGCAATACATAACTTACTTTTTTTAAATACAATATTTACATAAAGTATGAACTTTGGATTATAAATGGTGAAATGCATATTCTAAGACCATAACATTATGCACCTAGTATGTGTTGTTTATAAATTTAGAGTTTTCTACTGATCTATGTAATGATGCATGCATTTAATATAAAATATTTTAACTCTTTGAGTCAAACATTTGTTCTGCACATGTACCAATGATTCTACTTTCAGTGCTCCGATTTCCTATGCAGTATGTGAGGTCTGAAGCCAAACTACCCTCCCTTCTGCAGATGGTGCATACATCAACGAAGATAAAATAGGCATATTAATTCGACGATGGAGCTCGGTTCTGTTATTTCATCCTCAAATACCAGATATTTATGTCAGTTTGTACATGGGGGCCAATCAGACTACACAAATACTAACCCAAGTAATTTCCATCATTAGAACAACAAATGATCCTGTTAAATGCAGCTACCTAAAGAACTTAAAAATTGTATTTTATTCATTAAAACTTAAAATTCAATCTGTTAAAAGTTTTGTAGCAAATGTGAGATAAAGAACAAAATATTTTAAAAACTGAACCAAGATGTTTTGAGCTGTTTTTGGTTCCTGAATATTGCGTCTGCTTTAGGATCAACTGCCATCATTTGCAGTGAATACGCGTATGTTCAGTCAAATTTTGTTAAAATGAGGTTAAGTGTATGACAAAATTTGTTTTATTAATAGGGTCAAAAAGAAAGAAAAGAAAGTCGATAACATAATAAAATTACGAGTTAGGTGCATTAATACATAGGCATCTAAAGTTATTTCTTGACCTGAAAAGTGATAAAGTAATCTTCTATTTTGTAACAGCAACTTCTGCGAGACTACACGGTACAGGATCTTAGTCATTTTCAAACTTAAAGCTCCATCACATTACAAAGCACTAAGCAGCGACAAATCTTTATAACACTGCATGGAACCAATGTAACCGAAGTGTTTAAGGCACAGAAATAAATGCAGCAATGAAGTTCAGTGAGCGTTGTAACTGTATAGTTAAGTGGTCCCCAACCTTTTTGTGCCTACGGGCACATTTGAGAGTTTATGAGATCGTGGCGGGCAACAACCAATTAACAAAGCCGAATTTTCTTTTCTCCCGACAAATAAGATATGGACACCAAATAATACGCAAAACAACATGACGTTTAATGATACAAGAAATCGCGCAATCAAAAATACATAGTTTTATAAGTACAATTATTATTACTCAAGTGGGAAGTTAGTGTGATGTTTGGCACTGCATTTCATCGGCCAGTTTTTCAAATTTGAGAGTGTAGGATGATGTTGCTGCTCGCAAACAATCGTCAAGATGGGCATTAGTAAGTAGAGATCTGCGCTTTGAATTTATGGTGTCTCTATTATTCAGTATAATCTCTTTCCACAACAACGCGGGCACCACGTTGGGGACCACTGGTGTAAGCAAATGAATGTGTCTCTATATAAACCTCAGGCTTCCACAATTATACTGAGAATGTTCCAATGACATGTTGGGTCACGACAAAAACCAAACACATTTCTAAAAATCAGGGACAAACAGCATTCACAGGCTAGTCAGCCATATTCTCCCACTTGCTGTAAGCACAATAAAATTTGCAATATGTACACTTATTTTTATAACATTATGGTAATAAAATATATTTTAATATTAAATTTAAACTGCTATGGCCAATAAATAAAGAATAATGGAACTTAATTGGAAGTTCAGTCTTTCACAAACAACAAAGAAATTATCTATAAATTTGCCATTAACCTACTGTGTTCTGATACCACGTGCGGCAGGCACAGCGAAAGGCCAAAGAGAGACCCCATGACTCTGATCTGTTGGCTATTGCTGTGAGGTTTTAACAGTTTGTCCATTAAAATGGGTACCATGCCCTGCCGTGTACCCTATGAAACAGAACACTTGGGTTCGGACTTGGGTTTGGATTTTCTCAAATACGAAATTACAGAAACCTTAACAAGAGTTACAAAAAATATTCACAAACTCAACAGTTACAAAATTAAATTATACTTTCTTCGATTATTCTTATCATTCATACTCCAAAAATACAAATGATTTGACTTGAAGAAGGAAATCAGCTAGTATAATTAATCATATCATGAAATTGTTCCTGTTGAAGAAAGATTTTGTTGTGACTTGTATGTTCAAAATATAATTTATATCCAAGTTGTTTCTGCTTCTATTTGATTGAAACATTTTGAATATTAACAAATATTCAGAATATGCAATAATACTATTCCAGTCCAAATTTCAGAACTCTTACACTTCTTACAATTGCACGAATGAAAAATATAAGACTATATGAAAACAAGGCTGATTATCCGTTTACATAAACTGCTGGTTCTATTTTCATGCCAATAACCAAATACAGTTGCTTTAAATAATGGACTATCACTATTCACATAAATTAAGCAAGCCAGGCGGCCAGTAAATCCGCCTCTCACTCATTTTCATCTTGCAGTCTCTCTTTCTCAATGGTCACAGTGATCATGTGGTCTGGGACGTGGGACCTGATCACTCAGACACTGGGATCATGGTTTTGAAACCCACTGTGCTGTCCTTTGAAGGCAGAGGCCTTACAATCAGCTGATCACTCTTCCGAGGATTCCCACCAAAGTCTTCTTTCCATGTGTGAGGTGGCAAAGTCCTTCAAGGACTGTACTGGAGTAAGTAAATAAGTAAGTACATAAATAAGTAAGTCTCTCTCTATCTTATTCATCTCCAGAACACGTATATAACACTATGAATGGCAACTGAGCACCTTCATAATATACAGTAAAGTAGGTGCAAGAACAAAACAAAGTTTCAACTTCATTATCTGGTTTACTGTAAATAAATGTGTGCTAAGTGTTAGCTGCATCGGGCAATAAACTAACGACACCTTCCTACCATTTAAGATACAGGCAATAGGTTTTTTTTTTAAAAAATGTAATTATGTTCAATGCTGCAATTCTATGCCATTTGAGAATTAAGGTCCATATTCACTGTAGATTCCTCTGAGCAACACATGGTGATGAAATGAAAAGAATGGCAGTTTCCTTCTTCTTCAAGGTCAATGTTATAGGAAAAAAATGGTCAAAAGAACAATGCAGCTATTTAACGGTCTGTCAGAATTGATAACTGACAGATCACACAGTTTACACAATCATAAAAGAAATTCATAAGCATTACCACTGATATAGCTCATTTGGTTTAATATTGGTAACTGATTTATGGAATGTAGCAGTAATTTTTAGGTTAGGTCAGCCGAGCTTTTATTTCTTTAACATGTTACAAATACAGTGGTTTGGAAAAATGAGGTTAATTAAATAATCTATGACAGTGAGTGAGCCGAGATTTATAGATCACTCAGCGCAGTAATCTAAATTATGAAATACACGTACCTGCCGATAAACTGGAAGCCAGAATAGACGTGTTTAACCTCTTCACTTGTATCTGACAAATATCTTCTTTTTACGTGACGGCTGTAAATTTATTAGAGAGGTAATATTTACTCTTTAAAAATAACATCACAAAATTAAATACCACAATACATATTAACACGAAATTTTATAATTTTTATTGTAAGTTCTTAACATTAAAATAGTTCCTACAGAAATATGGTGAGAGAATGTGGAGAGGATCGAACTGGCTTCAGGTAGGTACAGCGTCAGGCTTTAGTGGCTGGTGACAGCAATAAATCTGTAGGTTATAAAAACATTCAACCCTCTAAATAAGATGCCAGAGGAGAAAACCCCAAACAACGGATAAATGTCAAATAAATACAGTTTAATCATAGAAGAGACAAGAAAAACTGTATGCGTACGTACCAAGAGAACGCTGAACCAACACGTGAGGTCTTCAGAAACACCCAATACAGCACCGGCATTGTCAAACTCGCCACAGTAATTAGGTGCCGAGAACAAGGTAAGCATGGAGCGGTCTGCAAAGAACTGGTATCCGTCTTCAACAACTTGGTGCGCACGCACTATCAGCGAACAGTCATGGCGCTGCAGGAAACTGCGCACAATGTCACTACCAAAAACATAGCTCACACCGCGGTCATTCTGTGCCCAGCCATGAACTCCCTGTAATAGAGACCAAAAATGGCGCTAAAAGAATGACAAAGATTGACCGAAGTGTAGATCGACTCAATAAAACTTATATTACGTGAAATAATTTCTTTAAAGTGCGCAACCGTACTACCCAGCAATAAATAATTTGAAGGAATATTTATTTACATAACCAAGACACTTTTACTAACAAAAATTATGCAACAAAAAGTTAAACTCCAGTCTTAATTTGTACGCCGATGGAGTCTGTACGTTAAGACGCTACTTACTTCGGCAGGATCTCCCCACAGCAGATCGCAAACAAGACCAGAGTCTGGAACATCAATAGGCCTTGGGATGGCTCGAATCTTCAACAACAAATAAATTCAATGATATGAACGACAACAACGGTATTCAAGGTCACTGTTGCAACAGTGTGAACCAAGTTCACGGTGGTGACATTGTGATGAAATAAATGACAGACAAACAATGGGCAGGCCCAAAATGTGTTCTTCAATTACGCTAAAACATAATAAACACTTAATAACGAAAATTAAACATTATTACTATAGATCTAGAAATAATAAGGAATGAATATTTCAGCAAACAAAAGAAGTGAATAAGAAGTATAGAAGGGAGAACTTTGCGGTTTGGTAAGTGATAACGTCAAAATTAATGTAAATTGTTTAACAGCTCTTGTTTTTGTTGGACACAATTAACATTCACCACTCGTGTTAAATATGTTAGCCGTACTAACATGGTTAAAATGATCACTCCACCCCTGACGAAAACGTAACACGTACTCAGACACGATATTTCAGATCAGTATACAACCAAATGAATAACAGCAAGATGTTTGGAGTCGACGGTCAGGAAGAGAAAAATCTACGAGTACACTCGTCAGGAAATCAAACCCCCGTGACGTCAGTTGTACGACTAAGTTATAACGGCAATTGACGTACCTGATTTAAATCAGTGAGCTGGGGTGAAAGTCCACCGTGCATGCAGAATATGGTGCCTTCAATTAATGCGGCTGAAACATTTTTAATCCTGAATTAGAAACAAAATTATCCCCTTGTGTCACACAACCACGAGACAGACCAGATGTCACGTCGTTTGTGTGACTCGTTTCAAAATCCTGTGACGCGTAAGAAGTGACGCATGGAAACAGATGTTCCTACGTTACTTCTTTCATAGCCTGTGGCTAATTATTAAATATATTATGTAAGAACGTCCATTCGCTTCGTAAATGTTGTAATGGCCAATAATAGGTGAGACGCGAGGATACGTACCTACTGGAAGGCAGTTAAACAAGTCTGTAAAGGTTTTCCATATCTTCACGCTGTACCTTCTTTTGCACTCGTCATAGAAACCATATACCCTGAAATAAAGAAATTATAACATCACATCTTCTTCTAACAAGCACTTGAAGAATTTATTCTACTTAGTCGCCGTGAAAACTTCGGGCCATCACCTGTTGATACTGGCACATTCGTGGTTGCCTCTCAGCAGAAAGAAATTGCTCGGATACTTCATTTTGTATGCCAGAAGCAGACAGATTGTCTCGAGGGAGTTCTTACCCCTGTGAACAAATAAACACGCACTAGTCACTTCATGCGGGGTGTCCCCCAAGGCATGTTTCGTAAAAGAAGGGCAAAATACCTTCTGGACACCAACCCAACTTATAAAAAGATTTGCAATCTGTAATTTCAACTCAAAAACTGCTCAACAGATTCTGGTTAAATGTGACGTTGTGGCATAGGATTTACGTTAATTACTTCTGAAAATAAATCTTCCTAAATAGTTCAGTTACTTGAGTCCTGTTAGGTCCAAATGTCTTCCTGCACACTTATATTAAAAATGTCTGCCATTTTTCCTCAAAGTACAAGTGAACAGCTGAAGACAAAGTGCACCTACGATATAATACCTGAAAATTCAATTAATAACGTAAGAAAAACATGCCTTCACAGCGAAGTTGAATTTATTAATGCTGTTTAGGGAGATAATCATTATTTGTTCTGAAATATTACGTTAACCACGAGAGAAATGTTACAGGCTGTTAAAGCAGGCGGTGGCCAAACCATTCAGAATGTTGAAAGGGCAACTTCGCCGTCACCACCCCACCCAATCGACCTCAAAGAGCTGACGCAAACGGACCGGAAGCAATTATGAACTGGAGCAAAGAGGCTTTAGACAAATCAGAGGTCTTAAAAGGAAAACGAAGATTAATGTAACTATTAGTAATAATACGTCGCTCTGTATGCATCTCATTTGTAATTGGGGCGACCAGATATGAAAGAATATTCGAACAGATGACAGACGATTTGCGTATGAAATATGACAATCACGTCCCAAAAGTTTTTTGTACGATAACAAAGGCATTTCTTTGCTGCAGCTCGGCTCAGCGGAAGGAAGCTGTGAAGGAGAAATGATAAACGAGGGGAGAAACCAAGAATTCTAAGCAGGAAGGAAAGTTGGAAGAAAAGGCTCTGAGAGGTAAGACGGCGGAAAAAAAGGAAACACGTGACCGAGAAAATAAAGCAAAATATAGAAAGGAAGATATATAACGAGAAAGAAGCATGGAAAGGGAGAGATAAATAATGTCGTAAAGAATGATCGAAAATTTACCAAACCCATATTAAAACACCTAATTAAGGTTGCCATTCAATACAGTTCGATTGGATTAATATAGCTCTGACTGTACAAAATCCCACGCAGGCCACGTCGCGTTGTAACCCACTACCAGCAGTCCATCAACTGTCTAAGAAATATTTAGATTTTCAGTCCTTATAGCAAAGAAAACACAACACAATAACAAAGGCTGGCTCGTTCGTGCTGCTTAACTAAATAAACGCTACCAAGACAGAAATACGAAACGCAAAATACAAAAATAAACGGCGCGTACAGATAATATCAAGCTTTGCAGGGTTAATTCATTAACAAAATAGAGGTTTCAGAGGTCAGAGGTCAAGATCACGCCCAACTCAAAACACCCTGCTCTGACGTGCGTGACAGCCAACAGCCAATTTCAGACGGACGAAGACACCGCTCTGGCACGAAACTTTTCTGTGACGTCACTAGATATGACGTCATTCCTGCGTTCCCAGTTCATTTGAAAAAAATCTGTAGGTTTCAATATCGCTTCTAATTTGCATCTTAATGTTATCTTACGCTAATAGAGTCGCGTGCTGCATGCATAATATTTTCTGCATTGACAGGCAAGGAAGTGTTGGTTGGTGACCATTCATCAACAATGTCTGCGTCTCGATTCTGAAGGGTTCTGACATTTGTTTAACACAGTGTGGATTGTTGTATTCTTGGACCACAGACTAGGTCCTAGAACCCATCAAACCAGAAGTTTTTGGGTGTTAACGCTTTGCAGATTAAGGACTTTTAATTGTTATGTGTTGATTTGGCACTCATGCCAATAAAAACGTGTTTTTTAATTAATACCTTAGATGTTCCCCGTATTCTTGACGTGAAATCTTCTAGTTGTGTTATAATATTCTGATATAACGATGTTTAAATAAACAAACAGACTCTTCATTTTATGTTAATGGAGTCCGCATGGTTCTCATAATAAACAGGGATAATTTCCATAAACATAGTTAAGCATCTGATCTTTGTAATGGTGAAGTATAGTGTTTTCTTCGCGGTACGGACTGAATCCTTAAGAGTTACGCAGACAAACTTTGAGATTGAAGGGATAAAGAGTCGCTTGTTCATTTTTCAAGATGTTTCATGTTGTTCATGTAGACGCTGCTTTTCTCTAGGCGATTTTTAAACTAAAAAATGTTTGTCGCCTGGCTCTCTGGCTGCGACCACCTTCATACAGCCTCATCGTGCCTCCGGGTAAAAACAACTGCCTACTCGTTCCGCGTCTCTCACCTGTCGACGTAGTCCCCGAGGAACAGGTAGTTGGACTGTGGAGGGTACCCCAGCTTGTCAAAGTGTCTCAGCAGATCCTCGTACTGCCCGTGTATATCCCCAACTATGTTGACTGGAGCCTCCAGCTCCAGCAGCATAGGCTGCTCCAGGAAGATCTGTCGAGTCACTAGGCATAGCTGTCGTACCTGCCACTCGGCTAAGTTCACCTGAAAAGATATCATTCGGTTCACGTTATTCGAGCTTTTGGGACAAGAAGAATGGTAAGCCATCAAAGAAACGTCGTTCATGAACACATAATTTCGAAGTGTTTAACTTGTAGATTCATAATCCACAAGGATTATAATGTATTCAATTTTTTTTAAGCAGCAGAAAGTCTGAAGACGCCTGTCTTCTGGTAGAAGTTTCCCGACGTTTCACCGTTCTGATGACTGAGGCAGCAAGGACCTCCGAAACGTCAGTAAACTTCTACCACAGTACACGGCGCTGCAACCCAGAAGACAGCAAACTTCATAATCTCCTACGTGAGAACCTGAAATCTCACCGAGGAACTTATCCGTCTGATGCCCTCCCAGGGAGGTGACACCTTCATCTAAAACACGTGGAGGCTCACCTTCACGCCCCCTATACCCTATTATGGCGTAACGAAGAAGTAATTGACCGTCACCGAGAAACCTTAAACTCAAATTAATGTTGTGACATTTCAGAAAAAAGAACACAAGTTTAATAAAGTACGTCATCTGGGCTATACATAGAAACGGTGCGTGCCAGGAATCAGACGACGAGAAGCAGTGTAGGAAGACCACCAGCTCTTGATGTTAGAAATAATATTGAAGGACGAAATGGCGGTCACAGACTAGAAGGGCCTGAACTGACAGCTGAATTCCTCTCACGGTTACTTATTGCATTGAAATTACAAGATATATCAACTAAATATGAAAACATCTTCAGGGAGACTGATGCCAGAGGGAGACTCGGCCAAACCCCACCATAGGCACCGCCACACCACCGTCTGTATTTCTCTTCTGCGTCGCGTGAACAACACACTCGTGCAGTGAAGCGAGACTGACGTTGGCTATTATATTATAAGTAAATGAATAAAACTAGAAAACAATTAATCACGTAGTTAAGGTGTAATTTTCTGATTCCTTCCATAAAAAAATATTTTTTTCGCTGGTTTGTTTCAAAATATTTGCAATTAATTATGACATATGATTCTCATCCGGTCGGTATCTGGCACTCTTCGTGATACGTACTGTATTGTGCGACGCCTCGCGACGCGACGACCCATCCTTGGCCCACTTAATATTGACGCGTAAACACGAATAAAGACAACTGTGGGTGCCAGGGTGCATTTAGAATCAGGTATTTTCATAAGACTTGGATCTATTTCCAGCAGAGTTCGCACAGAATACATTTACTACAACACACAGACAAACTGCTTCAATTCTTGAAAACATTTGACCGTGTTAACCTTGCTAACACCTTGGAAAAGAAAACGTCTTGTCTCGTTTCCAAACACGGAACAAAGCAGAACCGATCAGATAAAATACATCTTTAGCCAGCTTCAGCCAGACAGGTGTTCGCTGCGAGTGTCAGCCGCAATTGGCTGGCTAACAATGGATGCAGAATATGCGATACAGTTTTGCTGCAAGACTCTATTGTCTCCGGTACGAGATTTAAACGTGGGACGCCTCGAATGCGAATAAGGAATGCCAAGTTCTGTTACAAGAAGAACGATTATTGAAAGTCTTTTACGTCGTTCACCTCTCTTCTGGGATAATTACTTCGATATCTGAGCGCGTATGTTTCTTACCGCGGAAAACACGAAAAATGGGTAACATTACGCTATTCAGTGGTTTATAGTAGTGACGACGAATAACGATTCTCGGTGAAGACACTCGGTTCACAGCGGAAGTTAATTTTTAAAAAGGCAACGTCATCGTATTTCTTGATGCAAGCATTTCGTTTAAATTCTTTATTATCCGTCTTGTTCACGAACACAAATCCATACTGGAGAGATGTTACATCTCCGAAATTACCTGACGGATTTTGGTGAAAATTGGTGCTGTCCAAGTGCTATGTGCTCAACCCATTTATTCTCCTTTCTTTTCGTCATCGTAATAATATTTGGTGAACAGTGCAAATAACGGAGCATTTAAGTTGCCATTTTATCCATCCTCCTGCTACTTTCACCCTCTTTGGTCCAAATATTCTCATCAGTGGCACGAAATACGTAAATTATAACCTCAGTTAACAAGCACAAATGTTATGAGGTAGTTCTATTTTTAGACATTCATAATCAGGAAGACGTCGAAAGACGTCATATTTAGCGTACGTGAGCGGCGAGGTGCCTTTAAAATTGGAATTTACCACACACGTCTCCATATGTCGTTGAGAAAGAAACCAGAAAACCGGCGCTGAACGTCTGGAAGACTTTGGTCGCGACGCGAGGTCTTAGAAGGACACCAATTTTACCGCAGACGAAGCTCCTTGTGACAACGGATGCAACAACACCAACGCCGAATGTGACGACTTTCGTAATCGGGACGACGCCAAGACATTAAATTTAGGGTGCGTGAGCCTCGAGGTGCCTTTGGAAATGAAGTTTCTGAATGGCATTGACCTTAAAATGTAACGAAGCCAACACAAGGCCTGGGCACCTATGCGACATGCTTCTAGCAAAGAGACGCCGAGCGTCACAACAAATAGAGGTTTTGGAACGAGCGTAGTGACTAAAACTCTCAGGGCGCCGACGGCAGAGAAGTGGATTCCGGTTAATATACAAACAACGATAGCACAAAAAAGTATAAATTTGCAACCAGAGACTTTACGTTAAAACTTAACATCGTGTTGTCTTGTAGGTGGTTACTACCCTGATGACTGAGACAGTAAACATCTCTGAAACGTCGGTCAATTTCTACCACCCTACTCGCGGCAATATCTCACGAGACAGCTAAAAGCTCACCCAACTGATACCGTTTCTTCCTCGGATAGCTGGGCCTTAGTTGGATTTCGTAGTCACAGGACGAAAAACATGGGCAGAAAGACTTACTTCTTCAGTCTGCACCAGAATGTTAGGCTACAATTCAAATCTCTTTCTGCAGAAAACTAATTCGGAAGATCGCACTGAATGTGGGTTAGAATTAGGGGTGCGGGGGTACAGGGGAGACCCTGTAGCGGGTCGATACTGCGCGCGGGGGGAGGGAGACAGCTTGTCGCAGTGCCGATACACAAAGATCTTGGAACCACTCCGTAGAACCTCAGTTATCAATAATTATTAGTCGTTATCAGCACGTCTCGGGCGGAGGAATTTGGGGGTGCTGGAAGGACACAGAGCGACTGGTTTTTACAGCAAAAATCCCACAGAGGAGGGAAATCGTCAACAGTAATTTCCCTTGCTTACCCTTCGACTGATCTTTGAACCACAGAGAAACTGCATAATAAGCAGTTTAAAAATGTCTCTTCACCAAGTATCATTATGATGATAAAATCCAGTTATGTGGGGAAATGTAGCGTACATGGGGACGATGAGAAATGCGAGACAACATGGAAAATCAAGGCACAAATCGGAGGATAATATTAAAGTAGATCTTAGGGATATTGGGTTGGAAGGTTTGGACTGGATTCATCTGGCTCTGTTGGGTTGAATAGCTATGTTTCGTTCGCATGTATTACAGTTTATTATGAACTTTCGGCCATGAAAAAGACATTGTGTGTTCACTGTACACACAACAGAACTGAATAGGTAAACTGGGCCTCAAGATTTATTCAAGAGTTTACGGGGCCGTCAGCCGCTGTCGGAATATTTATTTATTCGACGGTTCTGGCCCTGTAGTGAAACTCGCGTTTATAGAATTGGCTTCAAGCCCGCTTCTCTGTTCATGTGCCACCTCCAATTCCCCGATTCTCATTTCGATTTTAAACCGCATGTTACGAACACGCGTTCAGTGGTTTTTGTTCAATTTGAGCTGGATGCGACCGCAGAATTTCAGTTGGATGGATCGAATAGGCCGTGTTTGTGTGTCAAGATCGCTTCATTGTTACAATAAACACACGGCCCCATTTCATTAATTCTGACATAAAATCGAGTCCCAACAATATAATTTTGCTATAAGCTATTATCATGAAATTAGGGATAATGGAGACAATGAAATAAAGTCAGAGACAAAATTAAAGGAAAACGGAATGAGTGTCAACACAAATCTTGTAATATACTGCAAGAATAGCCATTGCAAGGGTTTTGAAGTGTCCCCAAGAATTTCATAATATTCATACGCGTTTTTGAATTTTCAATTTCTTGTTTAATTCGCCATAATTCCTCTTGGGTCAGCTGTTACCACGTATGCAAGAACAACAATAGCATATTTATTATAAAACGGTGATCAATTAATTGTTTTAATATTTTTCAAATCATCACCCTGTTTTACTATCACAGCTGAAAAATTGTTCTTAAAGTCAGATAACGTGGTCACCGTATGTTCCAAAAATTCTTGACACATCTGTTAGTTGACATCAGTAACAAAAACATAAGAAATATCGACAATGTCAAAATTATCTGTAGACTAAATACGCGTATATATTTAATTAATAAAACATAAATAAGGGTTAGAAAAAGGATAAATACATAGGACACACACAACAAAGAATAATTAGCTATTGCGTATAGTATAAACAATTTCAAAAAGGGTTTAATAAGTTTATGGTGTTGTGGTGGAATAATGCCAAATTGTTACAAGGATTAAAGGATATGAAGAGTCATATATGCAAGAGGACACAAAAGTTTTAATTTGTCAAAAAGTTGAGGACAGCAATGTAATCCCTTGAAGCTGGCTGAAATGTATCCGAAGCATGTAGGGTGGATGTTACACAAAAAACATGTGTAATAGACGGACTCATTGTGCTAAATTGGTAACATAATAACAACGTAAGAATATTAACATAAACATTTGCCTGTTTGCCGGTCTTCTTTCTGCCAGCCAGCAATTGTGTTATCACTTTATCTGCATCCAGCGCCTGTTTGAACATCATTCTTGCGGGTTCGGTGAAGTTTTCCAAACACTAGCCACGAAAACAAGGCATTTGTCTAAAAGTTTGTTTGAAATTTCAGTCCGCACTCTTGACCCACTTCCGCACTGTCGGTCACCCAAAGCAAGCGTGGCTAGTGACACCCTTAACACACCGCACACTGTAACACTCCGATAGCCTGCACAATACTGCGTACTTGTACACCAATCACCTCTACCTACACTGCTGGACCACTGGCAACGCGCGCATGCGCAGGGTCAACCATGTTGAATAAGCACGACGTTCGGCGCCGATGCGATTTCCTCCTATTTGCCGACGCTGTATCAAGTAATATATAGCGTCTGAAGGGGAATGACAATTCTAAACTTTCGTTAGCTGATTTAACGACGCTTTTTCAACTAATGTCATAACACTGTAATTTAAAATGTTCTTTTGGTGTATTGTTTGGGCGATGTGCATGAAATGAACGCAAAAAAGGACTGACCAATCTGTCTGTCCGCATTATACAACTCCTCGAAAACATCTGGGCAGATTTGGATAAAATTTGGTTTTGGAGCTGTCACTGGAAAGGTATTTTTCTTTAATTTCCTACTATCAGTAATACCAACATGGTGTACGAACAAACGTGACGGTCGATCGACACTAGCGCCACTTGCATTAGGGCCATACAAAGATGTATTGTTAAAAATGTTTGGAAAATAAAAAGGTGGTATAGTAATTTCTGTATAATGCAAAATAACAAACACAGCAGTCGCAGGAAATCTGTTTCATTACACCACAATTCGATCCCACGACCCCAAGCATTTTACCACAGCTAAAGCACCTGACATAACTCTATTGATTTAAAACCATTTGATTTCTACACATGGAAATTAAAAATGTGTAAGACAGCAACAGATTTAATATTTTCTTAGTAACTAATTTAAAAATTGTATCAGGAGTGTTCAGAATTCAGGATTTGCAGTTTCCACATTTTCACTTAAACTATTTCAACTGTAATGCAGATTTATTTAACCAAGTAACTTACATTGTCCAAATAGGGAGAGATGTTGCGGTCATCAAGTACGCATCTGGCTGGCCCCGGCACTAGTTGGAGGCAAATGGTTGGTTTCATGCTCCGTCCTCTTCTCCCAAGAAAGGAAATAGGGTATCTCCAGATGCATTCAATATTCATTAGTTAATGAAACCTGTAATTCCCCTAACGGGGCATTGAAATCCAACTGTCATGCTTTAAACGGCCACTTCGCTGTTGCAAAAATTTCATCACAGAACTGGACGTGCAAAAACTTGCAGAAAAACACTTTAAAATGTTCTAGTATTGCCTCATGACATAAAATTAGACAGTTATTTCGGGCAAACAAACATAAACACACGTTTTAAAAACACCTTATGTATAACACGTAAAATAAACAGCAAATTAAGAAATACTTAATGGACGTGGAGGCCATTGCTTTGCATATTCTGATTCTTGTGTCCTTTTTGACTTCTCACATTCTTTAAAAAAAAAAAAGAGAAAGAAAGAAGGTTATCTTCAAGTTAAAGGTGCAACCAATCATAAAATACCTCTCTGCTTAGCAAAGTATAAAGTTTCATAAATTTGGTCCAATTAGCGCTGAAATTAGTTCACTGGACTGATGCATCTAATTTCCTGACACCAGAATAGGACGACTCAAAGAAAGGGATTGAATGGCTAAAGTCTGAGAGTCAAGTGCCCCTTTACCTCACGGTCAAATATCTCTTGGGTGTTAAGGACTTTCACGAGTCACAGTTTCTGATCCTGACGATGATACATCATGGACACTTTCATATTTGGGCTTTTCTGTTGCGGTTTCACATTTGGATGAGGAACTGGACAAAGGATTTTTGAGTACGTTTATGCTAGTTTCATTACAAACTGGTGAATTCTTAGGGTACTCGAGTTTTGGTTCTGAAACTGATAGATCTCTAGAATTGTTAAAAGTTTTTGGTTTGATCGCGTAACTAGACATGGTCGTAAGGTAAACCGACGACCTTTGGTTGGAAGGAAGTGTATCAGCATTTGACCATTCCCTTTCGTTGTCGGCGACCGAAGACAGATGAGACTCATGGTAGGAGTGGCGAATGTTTTGATGTTTAAGTATGGGAAGTGCCTTCAGACTTCCACTCTGTTCCCTTTGAATACGATTCCTCAGAAATGTTTCCTGGTGCTGACGACGCAGTTGCTTCTGTAGTTCTTGCTGGTGCTGCACATGCACAATGTCATCACGCTGCGTCCCCAAAACAATGTTTCTGATCTGGATGCGCTCGACAGCAGACGGCTGGGTCTTTCTTTTCTCGCAAAATGCCTTTCGATATCTGAACACCACGAAGGTTGTAATGGCACACGCAATAAGTACCAGTACCAGTACGACGCATATTATCACATACAAATACACAGAAGAAATCATTTGCTCCTGAAACTTTGTCTCAATTTCTACAATGCACAAAGTTGCATTGCAGGATTTGTTATGTCGGAGGGATTCAAAGTTCTTGGCGGAGAATTCGAAGTATGGCTCGTCACACGTCGAAACAACTCTAATCTCATTCTCCACACTCCAATTCCACAGTTCCCATAACCCACAGTCGCACGCAAGCCAGTTGTCCGACACCTTGAAGTACGTCAGGTTGTTGAGGTGACAAATTACACGTAACTGTAAATTATCCAAGTGGTTTCTGGAAAGATCCAAAACTGCAAGATTATACAACTTGGAGAACTGTGTTTTGCTCAGAGTATCCAAAGAATTATTTTGCAAATGAAGTCTCTTCAAGCCTGTTAGTGGAGTGAACGCATCAACCCCTAAAGTTTTCAACTTATTACCGGAGAGTTCCAAAAGTTCTACACTTTCCAGGAACGCAAACACGTCAGACTGAAGCGTATGCAGTTCATTATTTGACAAATCCAAAACTATCAAATCTTTCATCATCACAAACAAGTCCTTTTGCACAGATCTTAATAAGTTGCCAGAGAGGTAGAGGGACTTTAGTGATTTAAAGGGAAGGAAGACTTTAGGATCCAGAGTTTTAAGCCGGTTACGTGTCAGTCTGAGCTCCTGAAGGCTCGATATGTTCGTAAATGTTTTCTCTGGGAGAGATCTCACATTACATGAAGACATATCAAGTGACCTGAGGGATGGAACGTTGAGAAAGGGTCTACCAGCAGGAAGATCGAGAATGTTATGATCTAGCTTAAGAAATTCGAGCCTGTGATTCATTCTAAAAACATCTTGATCCAGAGAAACAATTTCATTTCTGCCAAGGTAGAGGAATATCAAGTCTACCAGTTCTGTGAAAGTGTCCTTTTCAACTACAGAAATCTTGTTGTTGGTCAAGTCAAGTATTTTGATACGATGAACGTCGAACGATCCCTTTCTGAGCGCACGCAAATTGTTGCTGGACGCATTCAGAAACATGACACCACCACCTAGATTTCTGGGTACGTGTGTCAGTGAGAAGTTGCAACAATTTGCTCTGTATGGAGATGGACAGGTGCAGACATCTGGACAAGGCACATCGCCACCCGCTACCAATGTCGCAAACAGGGTACTGATCACCAGAAACCTTCTGCTGCTCATCTTAACCTTCCAGAATATTCTAAAAAAATGAAAGAAATCCATGTTACAAATACTTTCACACTTCATCTGCATTCACTGATACAACTATTAACCTCAGTCTTCATAAAAACACATCATGTCTTACTACTTTCTTTGCTATTGATTTTATACATTGCCTGTTTATTTGTTAACACTTTATCATGATGTTAAAAAAACTGCATACTTTATTTACTTGGGGTAAATATTTCTCTAAAAATAAACAAAAACGTAAAAACAATACAAAAAATTACATCCCAGTCTAATCTGAGAAAAAATATTTTCCTTAGTACAGGGCCATGCAGACATATGGGGAGTGGGGAAAAAGTTCCATGTATTCTTAACACTGCACGGCTCCTAGAAAAGACTGGCAATAACAAACTTTTAAAATATACAAATTCAAATGACTATGTTTTTCCTTCTATCTTATGAATACATTTTAAATTATCATTTTGACATCGTTAACAGCATTTTTTTTAATTCGTTGCAGTATGCGTATGAAAAGGTACTTTCGATTTCTTTAATGCAAGATGGAGTACTACTGAGAACAATATTTTTCGCGTTACTGTACCCAAATATGACGCTAACAGCTGCACGGTCAAGAGTGATCCGAGCATTATTACAAAGTATAACAAGGAATCAACTTTTAAAAAAAATCCGAAATAAAAAGGGGAAAATTTACACAAAGGCTGGAACGTTCATCTATTATACCACAACACTAACTACATTCCCATAAATCATTTTCATTGTATTTAAAAAATTATTTCAAATAAAAGTTACGTGCATTAATACTTAAGTACAAAGTTTCCATTTGATTCTAATGGCTAAGCCACGTACAAATAACAGGCGAAGTTTATCGTCATGTGGGCTCTGATAAGAAGTGTAAAACGAAACAACAGGCCAAGCCCTTCTGAAGCAGATACAAAGAATAAAATGGCGGTAGTTTATCTAGCGTTTGCATGAATGTATGTAGAATGATAGGATTATTACTCAATAATGAATTGGAAGGTATGTGAAAGGATGAGATCGTAGCTTAACTGAAGGCATTATACCGGCATTTTCTTGGTGGGACCGAGAGGAATCACGAAAAATCTCAGTCAGATGCTACAAAACACAACAGTGAACTGCATAATTTATGCAGAGCGCCGCCTGGTCTAAAAATAGTAAAATTAAGGTGGTTACAACAGGCTTGTGGCAAGTCACCAATTCGAAGACGAAAGGATTTAAGAGGACAAAAGCGAGACGCATCTCAGGGTCATTATGAGCACCGGAGATGGGCGAAGCTGTTTCCGGATCGTAACCAACCGAGGTGTCGAGCCTTCTAGTTCTGCCACCACGACGTTAATTGTGCAACTCATATTCACAGAGCTGCATAGATGGAAATTCGTTCGTATATGTTTAAAAAAAAAAAGGAAGACAGGAGAAGTTTTGGTATGCAAATGGCGGATTACGTACCTGCAAACGGATGTATCCATACAACCTCGTAAATTACGCTGCAATAACAA